AAAAAAAAAAAAAAAAAAAAGAACAAGTTCGAAGGACAAAGAGACGCACCGTTACGAAAAAAAGATGAATATTGAGATGAAAAAAAGACGAAAGAAAGAGAGAAGGGAAAACGGTGTGGTGACATGTGCAAGCTGGTGCACGACGTGCAAGTACATTTTAATCATCGCAATTTTACGCGCCTCCGGGAACGTGACAGCGGATACGTCTGCGTGAATAAAGCATACGCTGTTACACCGGATGTACGTGTCCGAATGTGGCAATTAAAGGGTTTATAAAGCACGACATTACGCATTCACGGTCGGCAATTTCGTCCACGCTAAATTTATCCTTCTTTTTTCTGCCTACTCTTTCTTTTTTATACTTCCTCTTTTACACTGAACGTCCCAACAAAGCCTGTGACTGAACGAACGTGTAATGATTAAAGGCTCAGAAGCATTTCTCGCGATTTTTCCTTCCGTTGACCGGAACATCGGGACGCGAACACATTTTCTTTTCCAACGCCTCGGCCGTGACTCTGTCCGACATAGTCCGCGTTTAATTATAGCCAACGGTATTTGCATCGCGATTTTAAGAATGTCAGTTATTATTATGCGGTGGCAGTAAGGGCTGCTACAGCTAATGGCGCGGAATTATAGACGATGACGAAGCCCGAAGCTCATATTTTCCGATATTTCCATCGATCCTGGCCACCTCCTTCGTCCCGGATTGTTCGTATCTTAATTAAATCGCGTTTGCTACTTGGTTATCCAGGTGTGCTGAGATTCCGTACATTAATGCTACGTGCTCTTCAAGGGGCACGAGTAAAATGTTCGTTTCTTTATTTTTTACGTTTTTTTTTTCTCGTTTTTAGTAGTTTGCTGTTCCTATGTTTATCGTGAAACTTTTTTCCAGGACAGGGCTCACCCGTGCCCGTCATCAAAGGCAAAACAGTTTTAATAAATATTTATTCGGATTAAGGTTTTATTTGCATGTAAATAACGTTGGAAAACGCATTGCGTTCACGCGGATGAAATAAGGCCGGCAGCAAAAACTTCGACCTCGAATAAACGTTTAATTGCTGGATTCATAACTTTAGCCGCGGCTAGGCGGTCACTTGCTTCTTTGACTCCTCAGTACCATATCGCATCGTGACGAACGTTATTCTGTTCTCGATTACTCAACGAATTAAACGAGCGAGTCGTTGAACAGAATATCGAACTCTCGTATCGAAGATGAGAACTAAGCAGCTAGAATAAAGTAGCCATGAAACATGATCTCGTTAAGACAAAACGATGAGATAAACCGTTTTTTATTTCACCCCCGAATCACGTCGCTAGATTTTATTAAAATTTGCAACTTGTTAGTCCAAGAATGATAATGGCGAACGAGGACACACTATGGACCAATCAGAACAAATGCTTCTTGTATTTCGTGTTGATCTTACTTAGCCTACGGTTTTAAAGGAAGTGGAGGTACAACAACTTATTGTTCCTTCGAATCATCTACCACTACTCGAGCGAAACTTAAAAACGTATCATCGGTATCCGGTGTCCGTAACGTTTACAATTTCTACTAAGTCTTCCTCCTACAAAAAAATTTCTGTTTCAACAACTTCTTGATCGACTTACTGCTTGTTTCTCGTTTCGACATAAATTTTGTTCCAATCTGTATGACGATAAACACCGAGTATTCCCGCAGCGCATTAAACGACCCGTTGTTTAAATTATTCGAAAGAATGATAATTAATGCATCGAAATCGCCTGATTCGTGTGAGTCAGACAGCGAGATGAAGCTACGATAATGAGAAAGCGAGAAAGCTTGTAACAAGCATAATCGGCCGATACTATCGTTCGTTAATGGCCACGATATACAACGATGCCACGAAGGGCTAGGCTACGTTATTTCCAGGAAATATGCACAAATGCATGGATTTACCGTTATATTCCTTCAGAGCTGTACGCGAGCTTCCGGAGTAACCACGGGAATGTCCTTTACCCGGTTAAAGCGTATACTAATACATTCAACCGTGATGTTCCCTTTGGCCCCGTGTTTTTCTCGTTCTTCGCGCGAGAAATATTTTCTTTGCCACGGTGACACCTGAAAACCCAGCTACAGTGCTAATTAGGAGGATTCTCAGATTCCTATGTGGATGCGTTTAAGTGCTCACCGTTATACCGTCGACGATGCTACGACGCGACTTCTTTGACAAGAAAGCGGTCCTTGTCAGGCCTTGTTAATAACATCGAAGGAGTTTTACCTCGAAAGCATTAAGGGGCTAGATAGGAAGCCCTTGATTCATCTCTTCCCTCGAGCGTAATTTCCCCGATAACTGTCGTAAATGGACGAAACTTTTCAACAGATTCCGTGTTTACCCGCTTTGGGATTCAACCGTGAGTTTCTTCGTTTGACTTCGTTAAAAAGCTATCAAAACGATATAAATATTAATTTCCCCGCTCGAGTTACCATTGTCACGCTCCTGACAAATCAATCTTCGCTACGGGATAGCATGGGAAAAGGGGATCTGTCCCTACCGTATATCAAACGAAGATTTAAAACTCACGACCCCGAGTAACTTTGAAGGATCGATCGAGCGTGAAGTGGAATCAACGAGGAAATTCCTAAAGAAACTGGAAAAGAGCACGCGTTACAGGATTGCGTGGCAGTTATCGCAAAACGAAGGAAGTACATCTGCGTCCCTGTTTGTCGCTTATACTCGCTCCGAGATTATCGCTCGCACGAAAGTTCGCGCGACTAACGCCGGAATATAATACATGTACGTTGTATACCTGTACGAGGCAAGATAATTGCCAAATGCCGTGACGCAGGTACACGCTTAGTATAGTTTGACACCGAGTACGTTGAAACGAATCTATCTTGCTGAAGGGGCGCGCTGCGTCACTTCCAATACATTATGCGTGTGCACGCCTCTTATGTGATTTTGACACGATCGAGTGAATTGCCTTGGATCGACGTCATGGTAAATACGAGACGACGGAATATCTCTAAAATTCCTCGGATCAAGGAAGAAACTTTGTCATTCGAATCTAACTGTCTATGTATTTTTATTTTACTTTACCTTAAACTTCCATTGTTAATACTAAAACTGCCAAACCTAGGAAAATAACAAATCTCTAATTTTTCAAAACCTATAATTATTACAAAAAATGATTTTGACGATATAGTTCATTTCTCTTGAAATGGAAATATTCTTTTCGTTATAGCCGTCTATATGCAGATCGGTAAGCCCAGTATTAATTCCCTTTCTTTTCGTTTCTTCAATATACCCTTGAACCTTCCTCCCTCTAAAATTATTACATGTCCAGTAATTTTTCAGCGGTCAAGCAACTTAATGCCTTAATTGTTCTATAACCATAGAAAACATATCTGGCGAGGTTTAAGATATATAGTATACTCGAGTTACGTCGATTGAAATCACCGTTCTTGCACGAGACATTACGCCGGAGACACACGCCGGTACGTTTTTCGTGTCCGTTCGCAATATACGAGCACGCCGCAATTGAGTCGCGACAATTTGTCCCTATGTTGGACCGTAAGGCGCACTGTCACGGAAGATTTATACGAAACGATACGCTGTCCGGTAGACTTTTCATCGATGGTATTACGTGACGGTAAATTTTCGAGCGACGATGTTACGACATTATAAAACACTGTTGGATAAACTAAATCGCCCAACAACGGAAACGGGATTCTTCCTATTACACAATATTTTTTCCAATTCGCCGATACCGAACTATCGACAGTCGTACAATGGACAGTTATAAAGCGCCGCAACGCCAAAGACAGCGAATGAGTAAGACTATTTATATGCAAACACGTTCTTTCACGTACTCGAATACGTATCGATGATTTTATTACTCCGCTCTCGATTCAGCTGTCCGCGGGAGAGATAAACCCCCGAAGATATATCGTTCGGTGGCAAACAATTTTCCAAAATTTTTCAAGACACCG